GAGGGTTTCGAAGAATCTACTGAGATAGGATTGATATGAAGACTTTTATTTTATATGGAAATACATGTTGAAGAGATTCGTAGATCAATCTCACCAAAAGACGTCGGCTGATTCGTGTTGTACTGCAGCCGTTTGATGGTAATACGATGTTCAGGTTGATGCAATCTACGAGATATCCTTAAAAGTTTTGGGTAAAGACGGACTGAGCTTTCGTACGTCATAAGACGAACATCGTAAGAGATGGAACTCATTCTTGCAAAAGCTTTACAGACTAACGCAATCTCGGTCATCCTTTTTTTCTTTTTCTCCTTGGGTCATTAAGTTTTGATGCCCCGAAGGCTGACGTTAAGCTTTTTTCTAATTACTCTGAGTTATGACCAATTTTGTGTACAGACATTAACATACATACATACACACAGACACACTAGAATATACGTGAATTAGTCAAACTTCCTTATATCCACCTATATCTTAGGTTTTTCCCGCAATTAGTATAAATATCGTATAGAAAAAAACCAGTCAGTCTTGATGATTTAGTGTTAATTTGAGGCTTTTGCAAAAATGATGTTCGCCATATGAGGAGGATATCTCGTGGACTGCATCAACCTGAACGTCCTATTAGCGCCAACTGGCTGCAGTACAACAAGAATGAGCCGACTTCTTCTGGTGAGATTAATCTACGAATATATTCATCATGTATTTCCATACGAAATGAGTCTTCACATCTTCGCAACACCGTCAAAAATACAAACTGCATCTGTATTGCGGCCACACAACTAAATGCACATTTCAATTATAAACTGTCTCTCTACTCTACATTATTCGTCTTATATTTCACAAAGCGATATTAGATCAAGACGATGCTCTACGACAAGTATATGAGATTTATTCTCCTTAGTTTGTTTAAGGTGATAAAGGACTGGCAGTTGACTTTTCCCATAGTGATATGAGTAGAGCTGACGTTTCCTTTAAATTTCACATAGCCTTGCTTTCTCGAAAGGTGTTCTTATCCAGGGTGGGCTGCGGTTTAGATTTTATCTGGTAATCGAAGCATGACATTGCAGCGTGCAATCTCGACACGTTAGCCATTACGTCACATTGCCACGAGTGCCCTTAAATCACAGGGCAGATGTGAATTACAAGGAAGGCCAGGCATTTTCCCATATCACAAGTAGTACTAAAATAGACCGGAGAGATTGTAAAAAAGGCAAAGTGAGGATAGCGGTTGAAGCAAGAGTACCAACGAGGCTGGCTTGATCACAGTCCCAGGATTCGATAAGTGAGCTAATCTCACAATTAGCCATTAAACATGAAGAGCAGTACAAAACCATCCACACAAGGAGGGCGAATGGCTAAGGTGCTCTCGGGAGGTCACTATAGGAAATCCTCTACATCCTTTGGCAGGCTAAAGGGTGGGACCAACCTTGATGAGTTGTTGGCAGGAGGAGAGAGGCAGACCGACCAGACTGTGTCCGTTGACTGAGATGATCTGATTGCCGATGTTCAACTGACCACAACGAGCTGCCGGCCCGGCAGGCTGCATGTTGGCCACCACGGCAGTGGGTAGGAGGCTGCCCCAGCCAGACTCAACAATAACAACGCCCAGCAACTCGCCCCGCTGCTTTGGGATGATCAACTTGATGTCGGACAGGCAGATGATAAAGTAGAGGAATCGAGAACAGGGAAATATGAAGAAGGAACAAACAACAAGATAGTTATAGGAATTAAAGGGAATCTGCAAAAGTTTGATATGTATAAAACGTGATTTATCCCGTAAGTAACTCAGCAAAACTAAGGAGTCGGATCTACGGGTGTGCAAGAGAGTAATGCAGTTTATAGCCTCTTACAGGATGAATATGGTTGGGGGTTTATTTCCAATATAGCCAAAATAACTGTAAACAGGTATACCTGGACATGTTTTCAGACATATGAAAATGATGCGAAGAAAAGTTGGGTTTCGAGGAATCTCTTGTTTCATAATTGTTGAGCTTACTTCCATTTCGAGTGCTATGAAGAAAAGTTGGGTTTCGAGGAATCTCTTGTTTCATAGTTGTTGGGATTACTTCCATTTCGAGTAGGTGAGCTGTGCAAATAAATATGAAGAAAAGTTAGGTTTCGAGGAATCTCTTGTTTCATAATTGTTGAGCTTACTTCCATTTCGAGTGAAAGTGTTTGGTGAAGAGATTTGAGGGTCAAATACACCAGAAGATGACAGCGAATTCCTTTTGACCAGCTGTCGATTGGCTTTACTGGAACATTCATGCTGACGCTGTTTCCGAGGCAATCTC